TCTTTGATATAGTCTCACGAGTGCAATGTGAAACGTAGACGAGAGTTCACATTTGGCAATTTTTAGAAAATCCATTTTATTGCAAAAACATTTGCCAGAAATAGACTACGTCATCAGATCTTAGAGTCGTCACCTAATATTTATTTTGGGAAAATTAGGAAACATGTGACTCGTGCCAAGGCCACTATTTGTTGTAACCAGGGATGTTTAGCTTCGAACCTTAGGTATGAAGGGGAAAGGTCATTAATTGAGCACCCCCGCTCACCCGATCAAAAGATCGGTCTTTACTAACCATAATATGATTTTTATTTCCTGTATGTGTTCATATTCCGGTTATTTATTTAATAAATCCTAAAAAAAAAAAAAATTACTATGTGAAGCATATAAGTATAGACTATGTCACCCACTTTTGAACAACTTGATTTCATGTAGTTTTGAAAGAGTTTTGGAGATGTACAACCCAAATAAATTGAGTTTACAAACATGAAAAAATCAATATCATTCCAAATTAAGTGACACAACCTCCATCCACTGGTATTCATACAGTTATATCAATTAAGCAAATAGCCACATGGTAGGATGCTAAACATAATAAGAAAATTATGTATAAGCGGAATGCTAAAGCATAACAATTTACATATTTACCGACAACCCACGAACAGCTACAAAGAAAAATTAGTAAAATATGCATGATCCTATATACAAAATCCTAATGCAATACATACACAAGAATGCTTCTAAAGATTCGACTTCTAAAACATGACATGTAAAACATTGCAAAACATGCGATAGCACACAAAATCATGTAATAATCAATTAAAGTGAAAATATGCAAATTTAGCCAGATCTTGGCATGAATCATGTATGTAAAAGCATGAATACGCATGGCATGTAAGATATATACACAGTTAGGGAAAGCGATTAAAGAATGGGATAGATAAGAAGTGGGGATGGGGAATTGTTACAACACTTTAAATATTACAAATCCGATGGAGATGAATAAATATTACAACACAATATAAAAATCCTCATAAACACTCAAAATAAAATAAACACAACAAAATAGAAGCTTCAAGCGCCTCAAAGACCATCGAAGGTTGATCTTCTCAACATCGGAAGGCTGCCCAGTTTTGCCTAGAGGTCGCGGGCACGGTCATGAAGGTTGCAGGCGCGATGGTGTACTTTTAGGTGGCTACCCGGCCAACTAACGGGCTGGGTAGCTTGATAGGCTCAGCCAAACTCTGTTTTCTAAGATTTCTACAATAAAAACATAACTAAAAACAATATATACAGGAGTCTCAACTCACCATTTTTAATTAGATTACAACAATATATAACATAACAAGAAATCAAAGCAAAAGAGAAAAATAAGCAAGAAATGCAGTGGGTTCAATATGACGTCCGATTGAACCCAACTTAATTTTATTATCTTGTGCCTCTTTTAGTCCAATTTTATTAGCCCTTTTTATTATCTTTCCATTCTTTAATCATTTTGTCCAAAAGTGATAATTACATCCACTAATGAAGAGAAACGTCAAACAAGAAGTTTGTTTTTGGCATGAGAGAGATGTAATGCCCTGGTAATGAACCTCCAAAGAGATTAAACCATTAAGCATGGAAGGTCTCTTTCTCATGCTTAAAATAGAACTAAAAATATATATATATATATATAGGACTCTCAACTTACCACTTTCATTTAGATTACAACAATATATAATATAACAAGAAATCAAAGCAATAGAGCAAAATAAGTAAGAAATGCAAGAAAACAAAATAAATTGAAAATTCACCTTTTCAAGAAATAATGAACTTCATGATTTCCAAACTTCCTTTTGATCACCCTTAAGTGTATGAATTATGTTCTCAATCCTCAATTTGAAGCTTGGAATTCTAGCTAGAGTGATGGCTTGGAAGTGTATGTGGTGAAAAGTGATTATCTCTCTTGTTTTTGTTCACTTTTACCAACACCCACTCTTCCTTTTGATCAAAGCTACTGAAATTCAAGTATTTCAAAATTTTTGGAGGAGTTTTGGGTGTAGAAAATATGGAATTTTAGTTTGTATGGAAGGTATGGGTTGTATATGGAAGATAGGAGTGTTTTTAGCTCAAAAACTTAACTTTTCTCTCTTTTTCACTCTTTTCTCTCTATCAAATGTTCTCTCATTAATCTATCCCATTACTGTAACAACCCCGACCTGTGATTAGCCGATAATGCATGATTAAGTATGCTTAATACGTAATTAAGAAGAAATTCCAAGGTAATTACATGTGCATTGCATTATTTTTGTTTATATATGTCTGTTGTAGGAATATCTGTTTGTGTTTCTGTTTTGTTCTACGAATTGAAGGCCTTATCGGCATCCGATCACGAAATTGATTCGATTTCTATTTTATTTGGGAATTTTAGAATTTTATGGTAGGTTTTATTAAAATTTGATTCGGAATGAATAAATTAGATTAATTAGTGTCCATTTGATTAACTTTAACTAATCACCATTAACTAAGCCTATATAAGGCTAGTATGTGCTTCAACTCCTCTCTTTGCATCTCTTTGAGCCTCTCAAACAAACAAAACGTGAGGGAGAGTCAGAGCTTAGGTAGAGAGTGAATTCAAGAAGAAGAAATGGAGGAATTGCTAGGAAACTCAAGGGAATTGGCTTGACACCTTAGTGAATTCACCATCTAGAGCTTAATTATGAAGTTAAGGTAAGGATTCAACACTTAAATTGTATAATTAAGATATCTAGACCATGAATTCAAGAGGATTAAATTGAGTAATGGAAGAATTAAGCTAGAAATGAAAAAAATTTAGCCATTCATGCATGCATGCACTTTCATCACATTTTTTAGTTAAATTTCAAGTAAATCTCACATGCATGTACTAAGTCTACCTTTGTTTTGAGAATTCATTTTGTTTTGCATCATTTTATAATAATTGATCATGTCTTGGAAGCCTTGAAGCCAAAACATCTCATGTATGACATGTTTTCAAAGAATTGAGTTTTATTTTGCATAATTGGCAAGCTTCTGGGCCTTGATTTTGCGAAATGATCTTGGCTTCCCAATGTTTTCCAAGTTCACACATGTTTCCTTAAGTTTTCAGCCCAAGAGGATGAGTTTTGATGTATTGAATTCAAGTTTTGAACATGGATAGCAATCTGGAAATTCCATATTCTGTCTCTCTGCTTGAGCAACAGAACCTACGCTCGAGCAACCACTTTGTATTTTGCACCTTCACTCGAGTGACCAAAAGTTGGCTCGAGCATAAAATGCATGCTCCTACAAGTTTACACATTTTCGCAGACTGCTCGAGCGATCAGAGTTGCGCTCAAGCGAAGACATCAGTCTCACACTTGAGCAACCGTCGAGCGTGTGTCGAGCAGAAAAATCAAGCAACTAGAACTTTTGCTAAGTTTGCAGACTGCTCGAGCGAAGAAATCTGCACTCGAGCGACCAATCACATTTTTGAACACTTGCTCGAGTGAAGAAAGTTGTGCTCGAGTGAGGACCTATTTTCAACAAATTTGCCTAAGTGTTGGAGAGCATGTTTTGACATTCTCGCTGCATCCTAGGCATTCCTAGGCCATGGTTAAGACATAATAATGAGGTTAAAGACCTAGAAACACACTAAGAACGAAATGAAATAAGTTAAGTTTTATCCGGGTGTGTGTTTCAAGTATGTATCTGTTCTATTTGTGTAGGTCACATGCTATAAGCTCTTTGATTTGTCTGCTCTGTCTGTCTGCCTCTAGAGCTATTTGTGAGTAATAACTTAGTAAAGCTATGTTCAACTTTAGTTATTTTCTGTATAATGAAATAAGATCTATTTTCTGAAATGTTATGTTATGTACAATGAATGATTGTTCAATTTCTGACAATATATTCATGGCATCCTTAGCATCATGTGATATCTGTTAGCTGTTACCCGGTATCGAAGGTTCCATTATGGAACTTAATATGTCTACAATCTGTTATCCGTACTGGAGGCTCCATCATGGAGCTCAATATGTCTATTCTGTGTTACTCGGATCCAGAGGTTCCTTTATGGAACTGGTTACTCATAACCACCATCTGTTCTGCATCTATTCTGTATCTATTCTGTTAGCATTAATGGATGTACCACGTATGATTAAGCATGAACTCTGTTTTCTGTAGAAGAGTATGAATCTGTTTCTGATATGAAATCTATTTTTTTTTTAATCTAACGTAGGACATCATTCAATTAAAACCCTTTACTCTGTTATTATTCACTGGGCTCCCGCTCACTCTATTATTTATGTATGTAAGTGACCAAGCGCGTGACCAGGTTCAGAGTTGATCGCCTGGACTTCTATTTTGTTAGCCAACCTTTATGTCTCCCGAGGAGGTTCCGAAAAGAGTCGAGTGGTCATGTTTTGTGAACGTTTAAGACTTATTTTCCTTTGGATTATAAGCAAGTTTTCTGTTTATCTGTATTTTGGGCTACAACCCTATTTGATTATCTGTAATGAATCTGACGTGAGACTACTATAATTATGATGTCACATGTATGTATATAAAGTTTTGAAATGCTCTGTCCCATGTATGTCTACACAGCTCATTGGACGTTGTATTTTGTATATTTGCTTCCGCAACCCCTCTATTATTATGATTTTCAGGTCAGAGGCCTTCGGTAATCCCTGGATTACTAGCCGGTTATGATGCTAAACCTAGAGGGGCGGGTTTGGGTCGTGACAAAGTGGTATTAGAGCACATGTCATACCATACACACAAATCTATTTGAGCTATAGGATGTCCTAGAAATGAATTAGGAACATTTCATCTACATGTGAGAGTGTGTGTAAATTTCTGTAAATGAGAAAACTGAATGTTCCAAAATAGTTCTGTTCACAGTGTTCTGTAAATGAGAAAACTGAATCTGAACACATGAAATTGAAACAAATGAACTGGGATTGGATGTTCTGAACACTGTGAACAGAACTATTTGCCTATATTTATTATTTTCTTGTTCCCCTATAGTAATGGAAAATACAAGAAGTGATGGTACAGCTGAATCCTCAGAGGCTCGCATGAGCCGAATGAAACAAATGTTCGCATCCCTAACTGAAGCAATGTTACAACAGCAAAGCCAACAACCTCCACCTCTACCGCCCCCTCTGGTCCAAGCTGAACCAGATAACAATGACTTCATAAACCTAACTCAAAAGTTCATGAAGATAAAACCGCCAACGTTCTTTGGTGGTATTGAACCATTGAAGGCAGAAACATGGTTGCTCGAAATGGAGAAATTATTTGAAGTGTTTCCTCGTTCCGAGACTCAAAAAGTTTTACTGGCCACATATACTTTAAAAGATGAAGCCCGAAGATGGTGGTTATTGATCCGAACTAATAATGGAAATATGACATGGACTCAATTCAGCGAGATCTTCTACGATAAGTATTTTCCTCAGTACTTTCAGGACCGAAAGGTTTCTAAATTCAAGGAACTCAAGCAAGGCAACATGTTTGTAGCCGAGTATGAGGCTAAATTCACAGAAATAACTCGTTTTGCTCCTCATATGGTGGATACGGACTACAAGAAAGCCCACAAATTTGAAAGTGGATTGGATCTGGATGTGTTTGATCGAGTAGGCGTTCTGAAGTTGCCTACATATGTGGAAGTACTTGATAGAGCATTGATGGCAGAGGCCAACCTGGCAGCAAAGAAACTAGTTAAAGCGCCAACAACAGAATGGAGAGGTAAAAGGTCTGGGTACGGTTTTAGAAAGGGTCGTTCTTTTGTAAACAAAAAGCAAAACACGGGATCTACAAGTAGCTCAAGTCAGAGCAGTAGATCTATACCAGTTTGTTCTGATTGTGGAAGGAAACATAGGGGTGTATGTTATCGTGCATCCGGTGCTTGTTTTCGGTACGGCAAGATAGGCCATGTAGTGAGAGATTGCCCCCTTAGATCTAATAAGGTTGATCGCCCTGCAACAAGTTCACCTCGGATCTGCTCCTAAAGCTAGAACAAACACGAGAGCTAACATTGGGAGAGAAACCTTGAGACAAGGCCAAGTTTTCGCGTTGGTGCTTGGTGATGTACACAATAACAAAGCTTTGGTGTCAAGTATACTCCCTATTTGTGCTCAAAATGCATATGTGCTGATAGATTCTGGTTCCACACATTCATTTGTATCGCTTGCTTTTTTTTGGAAATTAATTAGACCTTTGGAACCTATAAACTGTTTATTATCTATGTCTACACCATCGGGAGGTTCTATGACATGTGCTTATGTTTGTTCGGCAAGTGATGTTATGATTGGTGATATGACGTTGTATTTTGATTTGCTGCCTTTGAACATTGACCATTTTGACTGTATATTGGGCATGGATTGGTTGACGAAGTATTGTGCACCTATTGATTGTGTGAATAAAACTGTTGTATTTCAACCACTTGGTATGCATGAGTTTGTATTTGTTGGGAATGAGGTAATTCCTTTACCGTGTTTGATTTCTTTTGTGAAAGCCAGAAAGTCGTTTAGAAAAGGGTGTCAGGGTTACTTATGTTGCATTTTGACTGTGACCTCTGATGGTTCTATTGTTGAGAACATTTCTGTAGTAAATGAATTTCCTGATGTATTTCCAAATGAGTTACCCATAGACTTAATTGATTGGGAAATTGAGTTTACTATTGATGTTGTACCCGGGACACAATCGATTTCTAAAACCCCATATCGAATGTCAACTTCTAAATTGAAAGAATTAAAAATCCAACTTCAAGAACTGTTAGATAAGAAGTTTATCCAACTGAGCACTTCACCTTGGGGTGCTTCAGTTTTGTTTGTCAAAAAGAAAGATGGATTTTTGAGGCTGTGTATAGACTATCGAGAGTTGAACAAAGTGACTGTCAAGAAGAAATACCCACTACCCTGAATAGATAATCTATTTGACCAACTCCAGGAAGCACAAGTGTTCTCTAAGATAGATCTTAGATCTGGGTATCACCAGTTAAAAGTCAAGACAGAAGACAGAGAAAACTGCATTCGAAACTCGATACGGACACTATGAATGTCTAATGATGCCATTTGGGGTAACTAATGCACCCACAGCATTTATGGACCTGATGAATGGGGTTTTCAAACAATTTCTAGAAGAATTTATAGTTGTGCTTATTGATGATATTTTTGATTTACTCCAAAAGCAGGGAAGAACATGAGAACAATCAGAGAATAGCTCTATAGATTTTGAGAGAAAAGAAATTATATGCAAAATTGGCCAAATGAATTTTGGCTTAAGAATGTAGCATTTTTGGGGCATGTAATCAACAAGGACTGTATCTTTGTTGACCCACAGAAAATTGAAACTATTGTGGATTGGCCTAGACTGACCAATGTATTAGAAGTTAGAAGTTTTCTGAGACTTACTAGTTATTATAGAAGATTTGTGAAAGACTTCTCCAAACTTGCCATGCCATTGACACAGTTGACGTAGAGAAATGTGCCATTTGATTGGACTGATCAACGGGAGGCTACCTTTCAAGAACTAAAGACCAGGTTAGTAACTACACCAATTTTGACTTTGCCTAATGGTATTGATGGGTTCCAAGTTTACAACGACGCTTTATATAAAGGTTTGGAATGTGTACTAATGCAAAATAGTAAAGTGATTGCTTATGCCTCGAGACAACTTCAACCACATGAAAAGAACTACCTGACCCATGACCTTGAACTTGCACCTGTGCTTTTTGCACTAAAGATATGGTGCCATTATCTGTATGGAGTGACTTGTGAAGTGTATACTGACCATAAAAGCCTCAAATACTTCTTCACCCAATAAAGAACTAAACATGAGATAGACAAGATGGTTAGAGTTGATTAAAGATTATGATCTGCAGATTTTGTACCATCCAGGGAAGGCAAATACAGTCACAGATGCCTTGAGCCAAAAATCTATTTGAAATTTTCATGTTTGTTCACTGGCCAAAGAGAATTGTTATGTAACCTAGAGAGGAATGAAATTGAGATAGTCCTACGTAAACAAGGTGGAATCCTAGTCGCCATTTTTGCTCAACCTGCAATCATTGAAGAAATTAGAGAGAAACAACTTGAATATGAGTTCTTGAAGAAAATTGTTGATGAGAGTGACTCAAAACCGAGGCCGAGATTTGTGCTTGACAATAATGTGTTGAAATTCCATAATAGACTTTTCGTACCGGATTGTTCTGATTTAAGGAAACGTGTTATGACTGAAGCACACAATTCTAAATTTTCTATGCATGTGGGGAATATAAAGATGTATCATGACTTGAAACAGAATTTTTGGTGGCCTAGAATGAAGAAAAGCATTGCTAACTTTGTGGCTAGATGTTTGCATTGCCAATAAGTTAAAGCTGAACATTAACGACCCACAGGATTACTTCAGCCGCTTCCAATATCATAATGGAAATGGGAGCACATTACAATGGACTTCATTGTTGGACTACCTCGTTCCTCTCGAGGTATGGACTCTATTTGGGTGATTGTTGACCATTTAACTAAGTCTTCCCATTTTCTACCTGTTAAAACTATTTACAATGTGGACAACTTGGCTAACATTTATATGAATGAGATTGTGAAGTTGCATAGTGTACTAGTATCCATTATATCTGACAGAGATTCAAAATTCACGTCAAGGTTTTGGAAAAGTTTACAACAGGCCTTAGGAACTGAACTGTGGTTGACTAGTGCATACTACTCATAGACAGACAGCCAATCTGAACAAACCAATCAGACTTTGGAGGACACGTTACGAATGTGTGCTCTAGATTTCCAAGGCAATTGAGAGGCCTGTTTACCATTGGCTGAGTTTGTGTATAACAATAGCTATCATTCGAGTATCAGTATGGCTCCTTATGAAGCTTTGTACAATAGAAAGTGTTCATCTCCAATTTGTTGGGCTAAAGTGGGTGATAGACCATTGTTGGGATCGGAACTTATGCAAAAAACGACTAAGGAAGTGAAACTGATTCAACAGAGACTGAAAACTACACAAAGTCGCCAAAAGAGTTATGCTGATGTTCAAAGAAGAGATCGAGAATATGAAGTTGAGGATCATGTGTTCATTCGAGTAACTCCTATGAAAGGGCAAATGCAGTTTAGAGTGAAAGGCAAATTGGCACCGAGGTATGTTGGGCCATATGAAATTCTTGAGAAAATCAATTTTGTGACATATCGAGTAGCCTTATCGCCAATCATGGAACTGTAGACACCCCATTTTTGACCTACCTTAAAGCTTAGACGTCACCAATTGAGCGCTCGGTGATGATGCATATTGTGCTCGTTCTGAGGTTTTAGAGTCTCGGCTGCGAGCCTTGCCTCCGGACTTCAGGGCTCTTTTGTGCTTTGCCTCGGTTTGCAAACCAGGTCCTATTTTCTCTGTTTTCTCTTCCCAGAGGGAGGGAGAGGTCTCGTAGACCATCTCTCAGTGGCCGTAGGCTACGTTTCGTGGTCTTAGGCCATTTTTCCCATTTGGAGACCAGTTACCGATTTTTAGAGCCGTCGGTCGTGTGCCTCGGTTCGGGACCGTTTAACTACCTCTGTTTGCTCCGGTTTTTAGCACACACCTTGTTTCCTCTCCCTAGAGGGACACTGTGGCCCGAGAGACCACCTTCGTGGTCACACGCCACTTCCGGTACCTAGTAACCTGTTTTCGGGGGCCTAGGCCGCGTGTTTTGGCCCCCGAACCCTTGTTTTGCATCGGTTAGGGTTTATTTTTGGTATGGACCCTATTTTCATTATTTGGAAGGTGGTACTATAGTGGGAGACCAGTAATTCTTTTGGAAATCATTTTCTCTCTCCTCCAGCCGGTTTTCTTGACAAAAAGCTGGTTTTCCTCACTTTTGGGCCATAATTTCAAATCTCCCATACCACCATTGTGTTGTGCTTATCTGGGAGGCCACCAATATGGGTAGGCCGACCAGCTTTTCTTCCTGACCCTTTTGAACCTTGCTAGAAAGATGGTTTTCCTCTCTCCTAGGCCACAATTTCTGGTCTCCCACCATACAACTGTGTTGTACTCATCTATGAGGCCACCTTTCTGGTATGGCCGACCAGCATTTCACCTTGACCCTTTTGAACCCTGGTCGGCCAACCAGGGTAAGTGGTCGGCCGACCACTTGAATTTGTCGGCCTACCTTCTGCTTTTTGACCCTCTTGAGTGCAACACAGTTGTGCCAACTATGAAGCACTTGACCCTTCCTCCGAGATTTTAAGCCTTTCATTTGTCTTGTTAAGGAAGATTTGATCCTTTTGCTTAGCTTCAAGGAGAAGCTTGACCCTTTTGGTTAAGTTTCTTTGAGAAGCTTTGACCCTCTCTTGAGGCTTCTCCAAGAAGGCTTAGCTCTCTTCCTCTATAAAACAAACCTTCCCTCTCTATTTGCAAGGGTTGAACATTTTGGTCTCAAGATAGATACACTCCTCCATATATCTCTACATCCCAAGCCTCCAAACTCCATTATTCTTGGCCATTTACACTACACCTCCTAGCACAACACCCCCACCATCCATCCAAGCACCTTGGAGCTAATTTTCAGAGGTTGAAGACTCACTATTTTGGTCCAGAAGCTACTGGCCTTCTTCTCTTCAAGGGTAAGTCTCCATTTCCCCCATTTTGACATTGTTTTGCTCCATAGTTTAGCCCTGTTTTCAAGCATTTTTGGACTTCAACATAAACTAAAAAAATTCTTTTTTTGAGCTCCTCTTCAAGTTTGTTCAAGGTCATTTTTCTGTTCGGGGTCATCTACCCCCTTTCATGCTTCATTTCCTCATGCTTTGAGCCATGCATTTGAGCATTTGCATTGGCCTTGGTTTAGCCTTTTAGCCACTGAAATCCAGTGGATTTTCAATGACTTAGATGTGTTTTTTAGCCCTAAAATCAGAGAGGGGTGACCCTCTCACCCCTTGTTCTCTTTACTAGCTTTGTTGGCCTTCCAAAGGAGCTCCATTTTGCATGTTGAGAAGTCTTGTTTCAAGCCATTATTTGT